TTCTCCCTATTTACCACACAGAAGAAACACGCGACGGAAAACTGAGTTAAGACTCGAGTTACACTTAAGTAGTTGGCTGCTAGTTAGTAGCATAGACAAGTTAATCTTCAGTTTAGCTCCAGTATCTTGTTTTTTATTTTGGTTATCTTGCATTTTTGGGTTTCCTAACCACCGTTTGAAATATTTTTTGACACCTCTGACATGCGAGCTGGGAGTTTTCCAACTCACAAGTTCACCCCAAGACCGGCAAGTTGTTCCTTAACCCGAACCGAGGTACAGAGAGGAGTCAATATCCCTCACGCAATTTCAGGTGTGGAGCAGACAAAACACCTGAAGGAGGAACCAAAGGAGGAGAAGGCGGCCAAGCCAGAGAGCGTGGTGATCAAGCGGCGGCTGTCAGCGCTGGCCCAGGGCCAGGCCATCTCCGTGTTGGGTGCCCAAGGTTCGGCCGCCAACCTGCTAGAGGAGGAAGCCCCCCAAACTAAACGTCGCCCTGAGCCCATCATCCCAGCCACACAGCCCCGGTGAGGACCCCCGCTCCTGATTCACCACCCTCACAGGGGAGCACCCATGGGTGCTGACGGACCCTTTTTCCCCTACCTCCCGAAACCTTTTCCTCCTCCAAGGCTGGCGGGCGCTGGCGGCCGTAAGAAGGTTTTCCGTCTGGCTGACGTCCTCAAGCCACTGAGCGATGCGCAGATGGAGAAGCTGAAGCTGAGCGCTGTCAAACGCATCCTGCGCGCCGAGCGTGCCGTTGCCTGCAGCGGGGCCGCCCAGGTATGCCCGACATCCCCCCCCCCCCGCTTTGGGGTGATATCCCCCCCTTCCCAAAACCTCACCCAGACCCTCTTGCTTCCCCCGGCAGGCTCGCGTGAAGATCTTGGCCTCACTGGTGACGCAGTTCGAGGTGCCACTGAAGAGCGAGGTGCTGGCCTTCGTCCTCGATGACATCCGCGGCCGCTTGGACCTGGCTTTCGCCTGGCTTTTCCAGGAGTACAACGCCTACCTGAGCCGATACCCCGCCGGCAGCCTGGAGCGCTATGATGAGTGTCTCATTGGGCTCCTCGCCGGTCTCCAGGAGAAGCCTGACCAAAAGGACGGGTAGGAATGGTGCCACCAGGGACGGGACGGTGCCACCAGCCGCTTTGCCAGGCTCCAGAGAGCCAGCACAGCAAGAGCTGCAGCTCTTGGGCCACAAACATCCCTCCAGATGGTCCGTGGGGTTGCCCACCTGTGTCCCTCATCCCGGTGGCGTCCCCCTCCGGTGACATCCCCACCCTGATGGTGTCTGTTTCCCGGCAGGATTTTCACCAAAGTGGTGCTGGAGGCGCCGCTGATCACTGAGAGCGCGCTGGAAGTCATCCGCAAGTACTGCGAGGACGAGGTGGGGACCCGCAGGGTTGGGAACACATGAGGGTTGGGGACACGGGGACAAGCCCCGACGTCCCTCACTGTCGTCATTCCCCCCCGACCCTGGCAGAGCCGGACCTACTTAGGCATGTCCACGCTGCGTGACCTCATCTTCAAGCGGCCATCACGGCAATTCCAGTACCTCCACGTCCTGCTGGACCTCAGCTCCCATGAGAAGGACAAGGTACGGGCACGGGGCTTGGTGCCCCAGGGGACACCCCCGTCCCTGTGCCAGTGACACGCGGCCACCCCCACCTGTAGGTACGCCAGCAGGCCCTCCTCTTCATCAAGCGCATGTACGAGAAGGACCAGTTGCGGGAGTACGTGGAGAAGTTTGCCCTCAACTACTTGCAGCTCTTGGTGCACCCCAACCCACCCTCCGTCCTCTTCGGGGCTGACAAAGACACGGGTGAGTTTTGGGGAGGGGGGTGGCACCCATCGGTCCCCAGGGCTCCAGTGACATCGTGTGTGATGCAGAGGTGGCGGCACCATGGACGGAGGAGACCATCAAGCAATGCCTCTACCTCTACCTGGCGTTGCTGCCCCACAACCACAAGCTCATCCATGAGTTGGCTTCTGTCTACACCGAGGCCATCGCCGACATCAAGCGCACTGTCCTGCGGGTCATCGAGCAGCCGGTGAGGCTCGTGGCGGACAGGGGTGACATTGAGGGGACACGGGACAGTGGATGCGGTGGCCCGGTGATGCCAGTGGTGGCTCTCCCGTAGATCCGTGGGATGGGGATGAATTCGCCTGAGCTACTGCTGCTGGTGGAGAACTGTCCCAAGGGAGCCGAGACGCTGGTGACACGCTGCCTGCACAGCCTGACGGACAAAGGTAGGGGATGGAGGGGACGCGGTGGGGTGGCATGTGCCTGGTGGTGACGTGCCACCTCCTCCTGGCAGTGCCTCCCTCACCCGAGCTGGTGAAGAGGGTCCGCGACCTCTATCACAAGCGGCTGCCGGATGTGAGGTTCCTCATCCCCGTCCTCAACGGGCTGGAGAAGGTCAGAGTGTCCCCTTCTCCCCTGGTGTCCCCTCATGTCCCCTCCCCTTGTGTCACCTCCCCTGACGTCCCCCTGCTGCTGTTTTGGGTGCAGAAAGAGGTGATCCAGGCGCTGCCCAAACTCATCAAGCTCAACCCCATCGTGGTCAAGGAGGTCTTCAACCGTCTACTGGGGACACAGCACGGTAGGGGATGGGGACAGCCCCGGGACATGTGGCAGCCCTGGGGTGGGACACGGAGCTTGGCAACTCCCTGGAGACAGTGCCAGTGCCTGCTGTGGGGACGTGGGACCTTGCTGGGGTGGGACTTGAGACGTCCCCATGGTGGAACACTGTGGGATATCCCTGGGAGCAGTCCTGGTGTTCACTGTGGGGACATGGGACCTCCCTGGGGTGGGACACAGGACCTCCAGGGGGTGGGACACTGAGGGGCATCCCTGGGGACAGTCCCAGTGCTTGCCGTGGAGACATGGGACCTTCTGGAGGTGGGACATGGGACCTCCCTGGGGTGGAACACCATGGGACAGCCATGGGGGCAGTCCTAGTGCCCTGTCTGGGGATATGGGCCCATGCTGGGGTGGGACGATGGAACATGGCATCTCCCTGGGAAGAGCTGCAGGAGCACAAGGTGACCCCAGGGACAAGCCCTCACCTCTGGCGCCACCACGGGACGGGCCACCAGCCCTGCTACCTGAACCCCATCCCCACCCCAACCGCCCGAGGACCAAGGCCACCCGGTATTGTCCCCTTGCAGGTGACGGTGCCTCAGCCGTGTCCCCGCTGAACCCAGGAGAGCTGCTCATCGCTCTGCACAACATCGACTCCTCCAAGTGCGACATGAAGTCCATCATCAAGGGTACGACGCGGACAGGGACAAAGAGGGGGGGTTGGGGTCACAGCAAAGGGGAGATGACACTTTTTTTTGTCCCTTTTTGGTGCAGCCACCAACCTGTGCTTTGCTGAGCGAAACGTGTATACCTCGGAGGTTCTGGCAGTGGTGATGCAGCAGCTGATGGAGCAGAACCCATTGCCCATGTTGTTGATGCGAACCGTCATCCAGGCCCTCACCATGTACCCCCGCCTGGGCGGCTTCGTCATGAACATCCTCTCCCGGCTCATCATGAAGCAGGTCTGTCCGTCTGTCCGGGTGTTGCCACCTAGAGGGGGGTTGGTGGTCCTGGGGTTGGGTCGCTGGGGGTGAGGGGTTGTTCTGATTCTGGGGGTGGGAGGTTGGGTGGTTGGTTATGGGGGGGTGGGTGGGTTTGGTTACGCTGTCCATCTGTCCTGTCCTGTTGTTCTGGGTGTCTGTCCTGTCCAGCCATTCCTGGGTGTCTCAGAGTGGGTGTCTGTCCCTCTGGATGTCTGTCAGTCCTGTCCCTCCTGTCCCTCCCTCCCTTGGCATCCCCTCCCCATGTCTGTCTGTCCCCATGCCCCCCCCCCCCAACCC